TGTTACTATGTCTTTATATATATATGTATGTACATATATTAATTTATTTTCCTTTAATTCAAGCCTGTAGGCTCGATGGTTGGAGGAAAAGGTCATACGGCAAGACCAAATCAAAGCAATTGAAGAGTCTATAGCCGGATTTTTTAATGACCAGGTCATCGATTCCAAGGGCGAGTTCTACTTCGACACAACACTGCCATGGAAGCCAAGCTAGAGGATGAGAGGAAACTTGTTATATCACAACAACTGTAATGCAATCTTTTGTAATATATGCACATGAAATAATATAATGTAAAATACACATATGCATGCATGCATGTAAATATATATATGATGCATATATATATATATATATATATATATAGTTCTATGCTTGAATTGTGTCATTTAATACGTTCATTGTGCTTGAACCCAAACATACTATACGCGCGTATAAATGTATTATTAGCGACGTACAATACGACTTCAAAAACCTATTTTGAAAAGAAAACAAAAAAATGAAAAGAAAAGAAAAAAGAAAAAAAATAACCTTTAGTCCCGGTTGGTATTACCAACCGGGACTAAAGGGTGCCGGCCTCGTGGCATGTCAGGAGACACCTTTAGTCCCGGTTGGTGTTACCCACCGGGACTAAAGGTCCCCCTTTAGTCCCGGTTCTGACTCAGGACTAAAGGACCCCCTTTAGTACCGGATGCTTGCTCCCGGGTGGAGAACCGGGACTAGAGGGGGGTTTCCCACCGGGAGTAAAGGCCGTCTCTATACTAGTGACATCAAAATAAACATTTGCAACATACGTTTGAAAACAGTTGAAAGACTTGTAACATACGTCTGAAACACTTGTAAAAACACCTGAAAACGCTTGAAAACCCCATTGCAAAATTTATTCAACATCCAGATAAAACACATGCAACATATGTGTGAAACACGTGCAACATTCAGATAAACACATTTGCAACGTACGTCTGGAAAAACAACTAAAACATTGGGAACAAATGCTTGCAACAAACGTGTTCAACCATTGCAACATATGTAACATTCCGGTCTACTTTTGCAACATCCACATAAAACAATTGCAACATCCATATGAAAAATGTGAAACACTTGAAACATACGACTCTTGCAACATGCGTTTCCAGCACGCAATGCCACTTTGCTGCTTGAACGAATCACGGAGCTCGACACCGCTGCGGCGCATGGAGCTCACCGGTGCGCCACTGGGCGAGGACCTGCTCGGCGGGCTGGGTGAGTACCTGTGCGAGGCGCGCGAGCATCCCTGGACGAGCTCCTGCTCCGTGGGCTAGGCTAGTGCACTCTAGGCGCAGCGGAGGACGGAGGCGCCATGAGGGAGGGCGGCGGCGCAGCACCGGAGTGGTCTGGCAGGGTCGGCGACCGAGCGCTGTGCCTCGTAGGTGGTTGCGCGCCACGCCTGGCTAGGCCAGCGACCGAGCGCTAGAGGCGACAAGCGAGCGGATGGAAGCAAGTGAGCGGATAAGAACGAGTACGTGGACGAGCTGATTTTTTTTATTTAGAAACTGAGGAGCGGGGTCTTGGCTAATGTCACGCGGCCAACCAACGTGCGTTCGGCCACCCGAACGACCGCTTCATAGCATTAGCGCTTTTACGTGCATCAGACCACAAGAGAAAGCTATGTTCGCGTGGAAACCAGGGGAGTGTTCGGCTGGCATTAAATGTGTACTCTAGCAGCAGGGAAATACTGTAGTAGCTGAAAAATAGTGGCAGAAAAATACTGTTCTGACTGAAAAAAGAGGAGCCAGCCAGCCGAAGCCGGCCAGCCGAACACGCTCCAGAAATGCCATAGACCACTTGCCATATGGACAAGGTAGTACCGCCCCTGGCGCTGAAGAGAGCCCGTTGGACTGAATGCATGGGCCATTAATGCAACTGGATTACCATCGGCAGCTCGCCTCTTTTTCAAATTACAAGTCATTTTAACTTTTTTTTACATCTATTTTACTATATCTAGATTCATAGTAAAATAGATATATCAAAAAAGTTAAAGTGACTTATAATTTGAAACTATATATAACCATATAGATAGAACGCACTAAAATTCATTTACTATGTTTTCTCTCCAACATAGATATAAATTTTCAAATGTTAAATACATTTATACTGGTTGCATCTCATATTTTTATTGTAAAATGTATTCAGAAATGTGTTAAGATATTGATTAGAATATTTGTGTATTTTCTAGATTTTTTTTCTTATTTTTCTAGAAGAAAATATATATTTTTTAAATCTTCTTGAGATTTTTTTTGCATGAGCTCCAAATATTGGGTCCATCGTAAATAACCCAATGTATCTCTAGTTTTTTTTCTTAGAATTTTTATGTACTTGAGCAACTCCAAAAGTCTGTTTATATCATTTCTAATTTCTAGTAGTAGAGATTCTAGTGGACAAATATACTCCAACAAGTTCTTTAATTAGATTTTCAAATAGGGACATTCTCTACTCTAGATTTCTAGCTAGCCAAAGATATAAAACAGGGTTGGCTTAGAGTGCGCAAAAGATATAGACAAACTGTTAGAGGGTGGAAGATATAGAGAACAATTTTATTTTAATGACTATTCAAATTATGATTTAGAGAGTGAGTTTAAGACCCTGTTTGGTAAGGTTCTTCTGCGGCTCCGGCACCAGCTCTTGTCGAGAAGCCCTATCAAACGGTTTAGTAAGAGGAGCCAAAACGGCTTTGGAGGTGCTGGTTCCTATAAAACAGTCCTGGCTCCTTCAAAGGAACCCTACTAAACAAAGTCTAAGAGAGACTCTCGAAGATGCTTTTAGATTTTTGTTGAGGTTAAGAACCTTTTCACATCATATTCGTTTGATCGTTTCTGTGGCTTATAAGTCGGTTGATGCTGTTTTTTAAGAGAAAAACACTGTATCATGGCTGATAAGCATGACTGATACGATCAAGCGAACATGGTGTCAATTATTTAGAGAATCTTTGAAAAGAAAAGTGAGACCGACTTGAAAACCACTTCTAATCGAGTGAGTCAGGTAATTTAAATGGAGTTTTTTTTAAAGATATTCGGTTTGAGTTAAAGAGAAAAATCATGCTGTTATTTCAGTTTGGTAATGAAAGGGACTTCTTCGTTGAGACAATTCCCTATGTGCCATTAAAAAGGATCGCAATGCTCTGTGTGCCCCTGGAAAAGTTCAGCAGTCTTCAGCGTCACTACTCCAATTTTTTCGTGTCCTCCATGCCACTTCCGTCAGTTTGGGCTCTAACGCCGTCAAACTGCAGATGTGAAAAGACGAAAATACCCTTAAGTCTAAATATGTTATTATTTTTTTTAGCATCTTAACGACTTCGAATGAAAAAACTCAAAACTCGAAAGTTATAGATCTCGTCGAGATCTATAATTTTCATATAAAAATTATTTTCATTTAATTCCGCAAAAAAAATGATTTGATATGATTAATATATCTTAGAAAAATCATATTTTTTTACAGAATTAAATAAAAATAATTTTTATATGAAAATTATAGATCTCGACGAGATCTACAACTTTCTAGTTTTGAGTTTTTTTCATTTGAAGTCGTAAAGATGCTAAAAAAATTAATAACATATTTAGACTTAAGGGTATTTTCGTCTTTTCACAGCTGCAGTTTGACGGCGTTAGAGCCTAAACTGACAGAAGTGGCATGGAGAACACGAAAAAGTTAAAGTAGTGGCGCTAAAGACCGCTGAACTTTTTCAGAGACACACATGGCATTACGATTTTTTTTTATGGCACACGTGCAATTCACCTTTTTCATTAGCGTAGAGAGAAGTACTCCAAAGCTCCCGCGCCCAATGTCGGCTGCTCTATAACCAGGATTCACCTCCCCGGCGCCGTCGCTGCTCACCTCCCAGTCCTCACCGCTCCGCCGCCGCGTTTCCCCTCCGTCCCTCCCGCGCTAGAAAGGACATTCGTTCCTGTATCGGAGCGCATCGCGGCGGATGCGGGCCGACGCAGCCTCTCCACGGCCGCCGCCGGCACAGTGCAGGCCGCTGCCCCTGCCGGGCTGCTCCCCATTTTGGTCGGTAGGTCCTCTTCGAGAGTGCGTCGTTTTCTTAGAACGAATAGAGTATTGGTTGGTTTATCGCTCTCTGGTGGCGAAATTGCAGATTAAACTCTTCATTCATGCGGGGAGGTGACTGAACACCACCATCGTCCACGGGTTGCATCTGCTAATCTGCATCTGAATGGTGTGATGTGGCCATGTTGGGCGTGCGCCTTTCCTTCTCTTCATGGCTCGGGTATAGGTACGATCCTCCCTGATTCTCTACCTCAAATAAGATACTAATGATGTGTTGTGTAGAAAACGTCGGTTACATATGTGCATCATGGGTGAAGGGTGATAACATATTTTTTTAAAGAAGAACAGTGATAACAAATTAATAGCAGAACATGTATAATAGTCTCCCCCTCCCGCTTGGGGAACATTCCGTGGGCTACGGAAATCTAGTGCCAAAGATGCCGGCATGTTGTCAATTTTCCAAGAGACATTGTTTCATGAGGAATCTGAAAATCAGAGAAGAAAACAAATGCTGCCTTTGTTCTGTTCTATGAATTTTTGTACCTAAATACAATATACATAAATGACTCAATAATCCAGGATGATATAAAATTTAAACATGTACAACCCTTGTATGGACCGTGAGAATCCAAGTACAAACAATAGATAAGAGAATCCAGGTACAAACAATAGATAAGAGTAAGTCCAATTTGCAGGGCAATAAGTACAGCATACTTCTGTATGATAATAATAATAATGTAGAAAACAAGAGAGTAAAGGACAGTCCATCATCTTCTGGGGATAGAAAGATGGATCACATTAAGATATTCAGGCTCATGCCTGGTTACAACACACGTATTTTGGTAGGACGTGCAGGAAAATAAATATCCACCTCATAAAAGCTTCTTTTCCTCTTGATGTTCTGGTGGAATTCTGACACTTCAAAGAGGCCCTTAGCGTGGCACCCCAAGAGACGCGATTAAAAATCGTGCTCCAAGCTATTTAGTCTTTGGCTGTATTGAGACTCTGAATTAGAATTTCCACCCAAGCTAATAGAAAACGTCTCATATTTAGACTCAGCTCTTGTACAAAGGAATGGTTGTTTCTCTTCAGCATTATCTTGGACGACATGGCATGAGTTTGACCTTTTTGTTCTCAAGAGCTGCAAATTCATCTCGACTTGCTTCATAGTAGGTCTCTCTGCACTGTTGAGTCTCAAACACATCTCCGCAAGAGAGGCAACACTGTTAATCTCTTCCTCGGTTGCTTCCTCGCAAACCTGAGTAGCCACTATCTCTTTTATCGGCCTTGCCTTTAGTTCCCAAAGAAAGTAATTAGACAAGTTCTGCTTTGACCCTGTCTCTCTGGTAAAGATAGGTTCCCTTCTTAGAAGTAGTTCCACAAGCACAACACCGAAACTATATACATCACTCTTCTCATTTAGCTGCCCAGTATGGTAGTACTCTGGGTCTAAGTACCCAAATGTACCTTGGACATTTGTAACAACATGAGTTTGATCAATAGGAACCAATCTAGAAGCACCAAAGTCTGAAACTTTTGCAGTATAGTTTGAATCTAGCAGTATGTTAGAGGACTTCACATCTCGATGGAAGACTGATATTGAAGCTGCTGAGTGGAGATAATAGAGAGCTCCTGCAGCTTCTGCAGCAATTCTTAGGCAGTCATCCCATGACAAAGAGAAACCACTACTTGAACTAGAATGTAGAATTTCGAATAACGAACCACTTGAAATGAAGTCATACACCAACAGTGGGACCTCAGTTTCAAGACAACACCCAAAAAGCTTCACTATATTTCGATGATTTATTTGAGAGAGAATTGCTACCTCATTAATGAATTGACTGATCTCACCTTCCTCAATGTTCTTAGACCTTTTTATTGCCACCACGCGTTGGTCAGATAAGATACCCTTATACACCATGCCATGCCCTCCACGGCCAAGGATTCGTGTAGGATCAAAATTGTTTGTTGCCTTTTCCAGGTCTTCCAAAGTGAAAATCTTTGTTTTTTCACTTGCATTTTCATCGGATGATATCAGTTGTTCCAAGAGAAGGCCTTTATTTTTCTGAAAATATTTTTTTCGTTGTTGCTTTTGGATGTCCTTTTTCCATTTGCAAAGAAGCACTGTTGCACTTAAGCTGAGAAGTAAAATCCCGAAGCCACCGCTAAGCCCAATCACAATGCCTGCAATAATTATGTTCCTTAGTCTGGTTCTGCTTTATCTTCTCCTTGTTAGTTGTCAAATTACTGTTGTACAAAGCTCACCTAATAGAAGATTTTGCTTTTTCATACTTGCTCCGTTATTTGGTAAAGCTGCAAATGTCCACGTTAATTGGAGAGTAGAAGAAAGTTAGAATGAGCTTAGAGCAGATATAGGTAGATTTCCAGAACAATATTGCGATCTGGAAAATCTGACCGTTGGATTTCATTCTGGAAAAAAAGCGAAGAAGGATATTGAAGATCCCACGTTTGGAGCACTAAGATCGCCTTTATTCAATAATGTAATTTGTGGAAAGTTTTGTTTTCACCCGTAATCGTGTGAATTTCAGTTTTGTCACAGAGTTATGTCTTTAAAATGCTGAGGCAAATCCTAACTCAAGGCTAGTAACACAACAAGATGAGAACACCATAATGTGGCAAAGACATTAATCACCTGTAAGTATTTAAAGTTATGGTCACCAGTCTATTGACTTTAGTTTGGTTAGTGCTATCTATGTGTAGCTTGTTATGGTTTCCTGACATTGTTGTTCACTGTCAAAAATCAGAATACAGAGGAGTAATTCTGCTCTCTGGACAGTAGAGATCCTAAAAGATTCAAAGTTCTGGTATGCAATTAGAGAGTGTTGATTATAATGTCTTCAGAAGGGTTATGTATTTTTTTCAGGTATGGATGTCAGAATTGGTTGATTTATGCAGCATAAACCACAGTTTCCAATTGAACAATATAAAACTAGGAAATATCTGAATTACAACTTAGAGCATAAACTTTCCTAGATTGAAAACATATAGATCTGTTGTTCACAACTGAAACTGAACTGGACTATCTCTATCACTCCCTGCTGTTTTAGTTGTTCTTTTTTGGGGTATGACAGGAGGGGGACCCCCTACTGATTATATATATTAGAAAAAACAGAGTAGAAAGAGGTGTCTTACAACAATTAATAGACAAAGAAATAACTCACTACTGTTTTAGTTACCAGTAATCTCCAAAATGCAAATCCCTTGTTGAACCAATGTGGTTAGGATCTCAAAAGCATCAAATGCATGTGCAGTGCGTGCTTGTGTTGTACGCTCGCGAATGCAATCAGTTTCTAACCAAAAAAGATAAGGCAGAAAGGAGGGAGGGAGGGATACCTTGGCAGCCACTGTGTATGTATGGATTCCCCTCAAATCCCTGCAGACATTGGCATCGATAACCAATGTAACCATCTATTGAGTTGACACCCAAACATGTGCTACTGCTGCTTACACATGCATATCCTGACTTGTTCTGCATTGCCTCCTGGCAGGTCAGATTGGCAACAGCCCAGTTCGCAGAGGATGATACCCCAGAAACAATGTACAGGCCAGGTTCCTTAGATACATACACTGACATCTCCTGTTCGTAAGATGGTGTGTACTTAATGTCCACAAGCCCCTCATTGATATGTATGTATGTCACCTGATGTTCATCATCGAACTGGAGACTGGAAGATGTTGTATTTGTGCAGTTGAGCTGAAATAGCTTTCTTGCAAAACAACCTTCTTCTAAGCCAAAAGGAAACGGGACACTGATGTTACCGCATAATTGCTGGCAGTTATCCTTTTGTCGAATTGGATTATATCCTAAGTCTGACAAAAGAAATTCAAAAGTCACTAATGTTTGGAGAATATTCAAGTTCTTTAGCATCTAAGAAATGTTAGGCATTTGAGCAATCATGGTGATGCAATAAAACTAATATATATGGTGCTCACAGACATCATGGCCGAGGAAGTAGACAGCAAGACTGAAGAAGTACATTATAAATTATAATATAATGGATTGTCCCAGATTTTATAGAAAGCAAATATGTTTGATACATTCTACTGGGGTTATCAGCTTATACAAAAGTATAAAGAAAAGCTCGCTCACAACCTGACCGAGGAAGTACATAAGCTTCATGAAAAGTTTTTATTAACATTCTTTTACCTATGCGTGCATGCACGTGTCCCCACATGTCAGTTTGTCTGCTCGTGGCATTTAATGATGAGGCAAACATTCAGCTGCATATAGAGATTGGCCATGAAACGGAGTACCTTTCATGGCCACTCTACATATATGCATGCTATTCGCATAAATGCAATCTAGACATCCAGATGCCTATACCTATGTGAAAACATCATAGTTTTTGTTTTTAGGATTTTTTTTGGGTCTTTGGCCCTGGCATTTCAGATTTATATCTCCTTTTTACCATGGGCTATCTAACTGAAATGTGGACCTAAACCCTCTACTGTGGTCATATTGAGAAAATATTTAAATCGAGTACCTAGTAGAAAAAAAATAACCTTTAATTTATTGATTGCAGGGATTACCTTTATCACGTGAGCAGCCATTTGGTACATATGGATTCCCCACATAACCACCATCGCAACTGCAGATATATCCAAAATTATCCTGTGTCCCATAGCCATCATAGCACGTGCTATTGTTACTTACACAGGCATATTTTGCCCTGTCATCCTTGGCGCTGGCACAAGTCGGCCGATCCACAATACTCCAGCGGATTTCAGCATAGGCTGAAGTTACCTTGATGCTCTCCCATAGCGAGCTTCGGTGCGTGCCAAGTGCACCTCTGCTGTGGAGGACAAATTCTAGCTGGAAGGCTTCAACACTACTCAACCTGATGGAGTAACATCCGGTTCCATTGCAGCTCTGCCTGGCCACCTCTTCCGTGATCTCTGCATCAGGACAGGTAACTGTTGAGAGCCTCACGGGCGCATTTGTATCTTGGTGAAGTCTGTATATATCGAAGTCACAGCCTGTGATGTTTAGGATAGCATAGGATAGGGTGAAGGCTCTTCCAGCAGCTTTCCATGGCATGTTGTACGTGCTGACGCCATGTTTCATGGGTATGGCATGGGAAAGGCTGATCTGTAACCAGTTGTTTCTAGAACTAACATCAATATCATCAACGATCTCCGTGATACCGTCACGAAGGTAGAGCCTGTGGGGTTGCGTGGTGTTGTCGCAGGTGAGACTGAAGTCGGGAGACCTGAAACAGTTGGAGCCGATGCCGAATGGGTAGTCGAAGGTGAGGTTGCCACACCTTCTGAGGCAACCGGCGGGAGGAGTGTTGCTGCTACCTTGGCCTTGGCTTGTTACGACGACACCAGAAGCTTGATCAGATGGAATCACAGTGAAGACAAGCACGACACACAACAGTGAATCGAGCAGCCTCATTTCCACCAGTAAAGAGTTCTTAACTTCTGAAACTTGAGAACAAAAGAAAGAAAGGAAGCTGATGCTGCTGGAACTCGTTTGTGGAAGTACTTGGACACACAAACGAGTCGTATTAGTACACAGAACTACACAAGAGAAGACGAAGGTAATATTTAGGCCTTGTTTAGTTCCGCGAAATTTGGGAATTTGGCTACTGTAGTATTTTCGTTTTTATTTGACAATTAGTGTTAAATCATGGACTAATTAGGCTCAAAACGTTCGTCTTGTGATTTCCCACCAAACTGTGCAATTAGTTTTTTTTTTCGTCTACATTTAATGTTCCATGCACATATCGCAAGATTCGATGTGATGGCTACTGTAGCACTTTTTGAGAATTTTTTTTGGAACTAAACAAGGCCTTACTTCACAAAGAATTAGCAATGGTCTTCCTGCTTTAGTGTCTTGGTGGGAATGGGAAGACCACATAGTCGTCGTCGTCTCCGGTTAGCAATGGCTTCCTGCTTTAGTGTCTTGGTGGGAATGGGAAGACCACATAGTCGTCGTCGTCTCCGGTTGGTACGCCGACAGTCTGCACGCGAACGCGTATATATAAAAAAAAAAGGTCTGAACGGCAATGATGATATCCACAGGTAATCTACTAAAGGTGACGAGGTGCCGGGCCTTTATGCACATCCTTGTAGGTATGCTTTGTTTTTCTTATGTGGCACAATATGAACAAAGGGAAAGTACCAACATGAGCTATGAATGTATCATGGTAAGCATGTACAAAACTTATCTTTCAGTGTCAGTGATTTGGTACGTTCTTCATCGGATCCAATTGAACAAAGGCATGCACAAGTTACCATATGTAATGCGTTAAGACATGGTAGATTTGATGAAAGTAATTCAATGCTGCATATGTTAGTGTATTTTTCTAGAAACTTGATCAAAGCTGGTGAATTTTGACTTACGACATAAGTGGGGGGATTATATATGCAATGCATGCATGCATGACCAACAAAGGTAAATATTGTTGAGTGATACTGCTTCGACTCTTGGGTAAGAGATGCAAATTGTATTATTCTAGGCACAAGACAGAGTTGCAAATTGTATTATTCTAGGTGAGACGTCCCGTTCCAGAAGGATGTATTAACTATGCCCAGATTTACCAATATTAGGAACTCCAATCACTCTGTCGCTAGCCAGCTATATTCTCTTGACTTTTGTTCCTCAATTGTTAAGTTGTTAATTTTATGCATGTGTGGAGATAGGGTTGCATATACGCCAAACTTATGGCGGCCTCTGTTTGTATCCACAACTAATCTAACATATATAATAACAACTACTACTATATATTATTGTTCAGCCCTTTGTTTATCAATTAGGTGCATGAGTTAGATATATACTAATATATACTACTCCAATGTACAAGAGTGAAGCTATACCCTATAACTGGCAACCATGATGGAAACAAACAAAATTGCTTATTAATAATGCAAAATGCAACTTGCCTGAACAAATTATGCAGCTGTGACGTATGCATATGAATTAACAATCTGCAATTCTGTAGCCTGGGCTGAAGTGCATGATATGGTTGTTATGTATATAAAATTAGCCATTGATCACTGACGGCAGTAATACTAAACCATTATTGGCAGACAGAGATTAGTAAGTGTATTAGATGCTGAACATGGCCACTAGCTCGACAGCGAATGACTGACATATGCGTCCTTTTATTTGTCTCATGCTGCTGCGTGCTACTGTTGCGCCATATTACAGACATCACAAAAGCTTAGCTTGGGTGGGGTTGTTTGATTATTGCTAAATTAAATATCTGCTGCAATGTCTACCAAATGCTGATGAGATCATTTCCTGCACAAAAATAGTTTAGGACGATGATCATCGGACAAGTGGTCAGTACGTATCGGTGTTGTTGGGGCTGCAAAGTTGTGCTGGTAGCTGGATTTTAATTCAAGTTGTTCTGTTTTTGTCTACTTGTTGTCTATGTGTTGTCAATATAATCATTTAGTTTGTTATTCTATAATTTTTCTTAGGTAGATTGGTTGCCTTGGGCAATTATTATAACTGAGCTCGCATTCACACTCTCCTTCAAGATGAATTAATAATACATGTTTTTTCAACATATATTGTATAGAAAATCATCTTTTTTCACTCCTTTTGTTGTTGGAAATGAAATGTCGACTCTAGAAACATACCCACATTATAAGGTATATGGTTTGCATGAATTATGCATTTATCCTTCGCTCTGAAGCTACTTGGAATCTTGGATAGATGTACATTCAAGCACTTCTAGGAATTATCACAACTTCACAAGGAAAGGTTGGTCATGTACCAACAGATACACCAGCTTTTTCTTTCCTGTTGATCTTATTGTCACGACACTTTTTCGAGGGGTATTAATTGTGCGGGCTGTATTAAAGGACGCAAGTTGCAGTTTGGGGATAGGATAATAATATAATTTTTTTTGAGAGGAGGAAGATGATAATGGACAATTAGTTAGTTGAATCTAATGATGAATGCATGAGTAGGTAATAACGGATCAGCACGATCTGAATTCTGTTAGCTGGTTAGAAAATATTCGTCCTTTGAGGAAAGCATGAATAGGCTAAGAGACACATAACTAGCCGAGGGTTTCGTTGCATCAGAGGAACGTGCGCTATGGAGTATGAACCAGTACTACGCTAAAAAAGTTTAATATATATGCTTCATGATGCATTAGGTTTTCCTTGGTCGTCCAACTGTAACGTGTATTGTTACTTTGTTAGTCTTGGCACTCAGCTCCTTGCATTGTTTCAGGTGACGAACAAGATCTGAGACCAAAGTAAGTAACATCTATCGCATGTCTGCAAGTAACATCGGCTTAAAGGTACAGATATCTTCAGTAGCAGGTCAGAGGTCGTCGGCCCGTCGCATGCATCAGACAAATTTGATCCAGGGAATCGGTCAAATAATTATTGGGAATGGAGAGAACATACACGTATGCAGTCGAAAGAATGGCGTCAGCATCATAGACCAGAAGTCAGAGGAAGCATTCCATTAACAAGTCTTATCAGCTGCGGCAAGTTAAATCATTCTGAGATAAATTCGTCTTAAGCGGTTGGTCACTGGCAGGTACCACATTAACAAGGCAAGAATTTTTCTCTGCTTTGCATCGTTGCCTAATAGAGTGTCCTCTGAGGGCTAAAATTCTTGTACCACCTTTTTCGTACCCTTCTTATTCCTCTTTTTCCCGTGGAGGCTTCGTCTCCACCGTAAAGGTCATTGTTCTTGTATCGGCTGGCCCCACACCGGGGATATTTATCTAGTAACTTGAACGTTTCGCTATGAAAAAAGATACAGTGGTTGGGGCATGCATGGATTTTTTCAACCCCCATTGTCAATGAACTTATGACCTTTTTCGCTTGGTATGTGTTGGCGGGAACTGAGTTTGGTTGTGGCAGCACCCATGACAGGAGACGCAATAGATCATTGAAACTACAGTCTGACCAGCCGTACTTAGCCTTCAGGATGAGTAGCTCAAGCACAAAACGTAGCAATGTCCGATGTGTCGGACAGCCCTTTTCAACACCATACGTAGTCTCCTTCGATGCTTTTGTCATCCTTTCTAAATTTTCTAGACCTTTCGAGCTCTTTAGTAAAATCTCTGGTCCAAGGACCCGAATCATTTCCTCTAAATCATCTTCATCACCAACACGTGCTCCCCCATCATTATTGGCACCACCTTCGTCATTACCATCCCAACCACCAGCATCACCATCTTGTTCATTGCCAAACTCAGGATCCATTTGTACATCAAGCTCTTCTGAGTAATGGGACAGGTATTCTAGGGTTTCGGCGTCGTCTTCTTCATCATCGTCGTCATTATCAACGACCGTTGTTTCACCATGATAAATCCACACTGTGTAGTCCTCAATAAATCCTAGCACAATCAAATGTTCTCTGATGATACTCACATATGTCCATGCCATAAGGTTCTTACAATCTTTGCAGGGACAAATAATTGTATTATTCTCTGACAACGTTGCTGCATGCTTCTCTGCGGCTTCAATAAATTTGTCCACCTCTTCACGGAAACCTGCCTTGAACCTTAATGAGCTATACATCCAAGACTTCATGTACTCCATCTTTTAAAACACAACAATCAAAGAAAATACTTTAAAGTACTACTAATTCAGATATATATGTAAAGGAATCAAATTAATAATTAATTACTTGACAATAATTATATATACTTCAGATATATATAAATATAAATATAAATATAAAATAAAATTACATGAAGCATATCAAACACACACCATGGTAGAGGGTAATTAATTAATGGCCTATTTATCAATAAATAATTAAAAAATATATATTTATTAATTAAAATAAATAATTTCAAAGACAACAATTTGCAACAATTAATATTTTACCTACTACCTTTCATGCAAACCTTATTCCAATTTCATGAAACATAAATTTACAAAATTAAAATTAAAAAAACCCTAGATTTAGATCTAAATCTACATGTACATGAAATATACATGAAACTAGGGTATAATCTCAACTAAAATCAAGCAAGATCGACTAATAAATGGTATAATCTTATTTATCTAACTAATTTACACTAATAGCTTGAAAACTATAGTCTAATTTGCTTCATACAAAGCTCAAGCACTATAGAAGAGAGAGAGAAACAAAACTCTAATTACGATCACTAACCAACCATTAAAACTTCAAATAAAGGTTTGGAATAGCATTTTCTTACCTTGTACAACCTCTCCACCAAAGTATTTGAGATCAAAACCTCTCCCTTAGTAGAGCAATTTTTAGGAGGAGCCCAAGGCATCCCAACCTTTTTTGCTCGGATTGGAGAGAATGGCCCGAGGTGAAAGAAGGTGGCTGTTATATATACAACGGGTATTTATAGGGGCGACTGGTGATTCGGCCGCCCCTACAAATGGACACAGCAGGGGCGGCTGGTAATAGCCGCCTCTACATACCAGCCGTCACTACTG